CACGACATGGCGGCGGCAACAATACTACAGCGAGAATCAAAGTTATACCTTCTTTCTTTGCGTGAACATTTGGGCGGTGTTATGCAAATCTTCCCACACAGTGACGTAGATATGTGGGGGCGTGTTTAAACGAGGCGTTTTAGGAGGGCGTGGACCGGTCTTAACTTTTATAAAGAATATCTCTTTGGGTTTGAGACTAATGTCTTTGCAACTTTAGGGATCTTATCTATTCACGAATAGCTTGTAACACTCCAAAGAGAAAGGAAAACTTGAAATCGCATCATATGACCCCTTTAATATTTTTATGACTGACTATGATAAAATTATGTTTTAGAACATAATTTCTAACTCATTTTCCCTTTATATGCATTCTCTGTATGTCTTGTGAATGCACCAGTTGTTGTATTTATCATCTTCTCCATTATTAATAATTAACAGAACATTAAATAAGAACATGTGTACAAACTCACTGTGGGTTTCTCAATCTGGAATCTGAACCTGATGTTTTCTGCCCAGAATAGACACAAATGGAATCTAGGGATCTGGAGTTCAAATTCATTAGGTTAGTGAGTGAGTCAGAGCACTGGTGCAAAATGCCTGCTCTTGCTGGCTGGGGTTACAGCGGAGGGTAGCTCTTGACATTGTCAATGTACACATGCCAATTTTAAATGCAAACAAAGAACAAGAGTAATGTGGAAAGATGGCTGGGTGTTGCCAGCATTTCATTTATGAACCCTGTACTGATATATAAAAAAATAGTAAAAAAAAAACAAAAAAAAAGACCATTTTTTAATTTATTTTATTGTTTTATATAGGAGAAATATGGATCTCATATGTAATTTCAGACCCAAACTGAGAGGAAAGAATGCAATTTTGTGCAGTTGCTGATATTTGTATGGCCAAAAAGTAAGGTTTTTGTTAACTTGTAAATATAAATCAATGAATATATCAGTTGTAAGTGTCATAAATATTAGTTGTCGCTCTATATCTACCAATAATACGTTTTAGTTAGATGCTATTTAAATTAGTTTCATGATCAAAGATCTTAGTTTTTATTGTGGAAGCAAAACAGTGCAATGCAGTACGATAATGATTGAAAGATGAACAAATAAACGTTCCTCAAAAACCTGTTGTATCATATTTGAAGCTCACATTTTGATGATATGTCTGAAAATTATGTATGGAGAATCAAGTAAGTCTACGTTTTTTAGTGTTAATCTTGTAACTAGCAATATAAAATTTATTCTGATGTTTACTTAGTAAAAAATTCACAACAAAAATACATATGTATGGACATTTTTACACTTATTAAGAATTTTACTTGCAGCAAAGATTTCATCGTGTTGATCCTTTAGAGGCCTTACAAATTTTCGTGTCAAATATGAAGCAGTAGACTTTATAAGGTTAAAACTTTACCTTTGGTATATTGTACATTTTATTTAATTAAATGAAGTAGTTCGGAAAATGGATGGATGGATGGATGGATGCAACAATGAATAATCTTCCACCCCAGAACTGTGCAAAACTGCCAGATGCTGTTAATCTTCCCAAGTCTGACAAAATCTATTTCACAATGCAATAGAATCTTGCAAGAGTTCATAATTCAAACGCAGGAATTCAATACAAGGGGGCCACGGCCCATGGAAACAGCCGCCACCCTATTTATGTAAGCACCCCCCAACTGATGACTCATGGCTCGCTGGAAACACTGAGCAGCAGAATTTCGAAGGTCTGTTCTAACTCCAACCAGCTCTGAAGTGCTGCTCTTAAACCAGCAGAGGACGCTTGAGGGTGAGGTCTATGAAGTTTTAATATTTACATATCAGACAGTCTATCTATTCAAAGAGTGACGGATATCATCTATATAGAGATAAATAGAAGATTTCATACAGTCAGTCCTCCTAAAAGCTGCTGTATTTGTGAGTTTGTGTGACTCAAAGGGGCACGGACACTTGGCAAAAGTCCAGGAAACAATTGCTCCTGTTAAAATCGCTCAGAGTAAGTCCTAGCAGAGATAGCACGCTCTCCTAAGATCCGGGACCCCTGCCAGGACAGTCCCCTAAACTGAGGAATGGAAACTGAAACACGGTCTTTCAGTAAAAACAGTTTTGGTTTTTCCCACTAACGGTGAGGATAACCTCTAGAGCTGATGTCACGTTGCAGCAATCCGTGTGTTTGGAGGGCTGAGGAACTGGACGGCAGGTCCCATCATAGGAGCAGAGCCACTCCCCTTTCCTGAGCTCAGCTTGGAGGGGAAACTCAGGCTTTAAAAGTTTCATTCCACTTAGAAGACAGTCTCTCGCCAGACTTACACCCACCAGCTTGTTCTTCTCGGACATCTCCAGCCTGCGTGTCTCAAGATGACCAGCTCCAAATCTTCTCAGACCACACGTAACATTGTGATCGCCTGCCTGGCCCTGTGGTCCATCATCTCTCTTATCATTATTGTGGTATGGGCCACCTCGCCCGAGATGAAAGGAGCCAGTCAGTGTCGGACGGAGATGCAAGACCTCAGGGAGAGACATGAAGGGGCAAAAGTCGTGTGGACCAAAGACCGAAAAGCTCTTGAGGATCTGGTGAGGCAGGGATGGAGGAACCAGACCACTTTGCAGAAGCAAATCGACCAGTACAAGGAGCAAATACAGTCTCTGAACATCTCTTTGAATGACAGCCTGCAAGAAATTGTGAGTTTATCTTCTTGTTTGGGTTTCTTCTAGCCTTAACCTCAGTAGGTTACAGTGACATGCAGATTTAAAAAAAAAAAAAAACTGCCTTTCAGTTTTATTTTAGTTGAAACTTAGATATGAAACTGCTTTGTTTTACATAATGAGCCCCAACGGGAAGTTGAGAACAGGTCAGGTTGAGTTAAATCTGTAGAGTTATGCAAATATATGCCAAATCAAATGATCCGAACGTTAAACACATCTCCTGCCAGGATATAAATCCCAGCTCTTCCTGGAAAAAACAAAACAAAAAAACTTTCCTGATAATCTTCACATTGTTCCTAGGGTTGTTGTGTTTCTGCCAAAACGTGGGTGTTAGATTGTATTCAAACTCAAAGAGGTTTTGGCTTGATTTTTGTGGCCTTGTTTTTGACCTTTGGAGGTGGCGGCGTTCACTCACACGCCCGTGAGATCTGACAGCCACACCTTAAAGTCTTAGTGCGAACAACCTCATCCCGGTTATGAACTTGTGTTTAATTAAGCTTCTGTTTCTCCGTAGGCTATTCTGAACGAAAACATCACAGTTTTGGACAGCAAAATTGAAAAATACAAACTCAACGAGGAGAACCGCACTGCTGAAATCAGCCTGCAGAAAGGTAGGAAAATTCACGTCAGAGTTTTTCCTCTCATCAGAGCAGCCATGAAAGGAGAGCTCTCTCCCTCTCTCTCTCTCTGACGATATTCTTAGATGCATTTTCCCATGTAACCATAGAAACTCGGAAGAGACAACAAATAGGAAAGGCTTGTTTGTGACATGGAATTCTCTACAGTGGTTGGTGTAATAACATGAAGCGCAGTAACTAGTGGTATTTCTTCTATTTTTGCTCAGATTTCTTTGCCCTCTCTATATATGTGCATTTATGTATTATATTCGCAGAAAATGTTGTCGAGTTCAATGGAAGTAAAAATTACGCTGCTGTTTAAAAGTTTGGGATTTTTAATGTTTCTGAAAGAAGTATCTTCTGCTCACCAAGACTGCATTTATTTGATTAAAAATCAGTAATATTGTGAAACATTAGAATTTAAAACAACTTAAATTAACACATTTTAAACTTATTCCTGTGATTCAAAGCTGCATTTTAGCAGTCATTACAGTCTTCAGTGTCACATGATTCAAGAAACATGTCTGATTATTATTATAATGTCGAGAACAGTGTGCTGCTTCAGATTTTTGTGGATACTCTGTGAATATATATTTTTGTTTCAAATTCTTTGATGAATAGAAAGTTCAAAAGAAGAACAGTATTTATTTGAAATCATTTTTTTGTGAAAATGCGAAAGCCTTTAGTATTAGTTTTGATACATTGAATGTATCTTTGAATCCTGAATAAAATATTTATTCCTTTAAAAAAATACTGACCTCAAATGTTGTATTCTATAACTGTTAGAATATCATAATTTAAAGGACTTTTTGGAAAAAAAAAAAAAAAAGTATTATTTTTAGTATAACTATGAACCAAAGCCCATCACAAGCAGCTTTTAAATAATAACATATATAGAAGGTGCAGTGTCATTCACACCAAACACCATCATGGTAACACACATGAAAATGAAATAATGCAGTAAACATTCATTTAACAACATTAGGTGTAACACACAACCCTAATATACAAAACTGATAAGAAAAAACTAAGAAGAAACAGTTATTTCAACAAAAAACATCAAATTTGAAATGTAACGCAGGGAATTCTGGGAATGTCAATTTACGGTTATTCACTGTAAATTATACGGTCTTTTTCATTTCCAAAAACGGTATACTACCGTAAAATTAATGTCCAATACATGTAATGTCCAATACAGTTTTTCACCGTATATAGTAGGGGAATTTACCGTTAACCATTTAACAGGTTTTTACTGTAGCATTTTTACAGTCATTTACCATTAAATTCACGGTCATTTTTTACAGTGTAACTCATCCAAAAAACAGCTTAATCTTGCTTAAGTTTGCTGGCCTCAACTGGTCTCCCAGCCTGGCTGGACAGATTTGTTGGTTGGTTATCAACATCATCTTCAACCTGACTGACCAGGTTAGAGCTTGTCCAGACCGGAAGACTAGACCAGCTTAACCAGGCTGGGAAACCATTTTAAATCCAGACTGGAGACCATCTAGAACAGTTAAAGTCAGCTTTGCCAGGTGGGAGAGCATGTTGACCGAGATAAGACCATCTCAAACCAACTCATGCCTGCTAAGACCAACTCAAACCAACCTGTTAAGACCATAAAGCCATCAAAGTTACTGTTTTTTTTCAGCAGGGAACAGTACTGTTTATCCAAATTTATATTGAACATTTCAAAGCCAGAATATTGTTTAATTTGCAAAGGATTTCCTGCCTCACTAAACAACTGCGGGAAATGACTCCTGAATGCATGAGATATGAAAATAACGGGTAATACAAAGGGCCCCTTTTACCCGCCCGATAAAGCGGTTATCTGAAAAAAAGCTAGCTGACCTTGGAAAACCTTTTCACAAAACAGGATAGGTGTGATGTCCAGAAAAAAGTTTCACACCAAGACCATATTTTAACACCAGTGTCGAACTTGAGACAAAGCAGCAAGCGAACAACACCAGCCAGCTACCAACTAGTACCCAAAATAGTGCTCTGACATCACAGAGGTCCTTTAAGAAACGAACTGATAAGTTACGCAGTGCCTAGACATTGCCATATAAGCCAATGGACTTTTTTCCTCAAAGAATGTTTGGCATATTGTTAAGAGAGTTTGAAGAGGAGCACTAACATTGCGAGAGGCTTCACACTATTGGCATTACATAGAAAAACGTTACGAGTTGTATTGTCTGAGGAGAGTTTTTCATTATCATTTCAGACCAGATTGAAGCCCTGGAGCACAATTTGACTCTGAAGGCCCAGGAGTTGGCATCATGTGAGGCTTTACACCTCGCTTCTAAACAGCTCCAAACTGCTGCAGAGAAGCAGAAACAGGCCTGCGAGACCACCAAGCAATATTTACAGAAGCAGCTGTAAGTCATACAGCATCTCTTCCACCACTATTTCATCGCACTTGAAAGAGTTCTTGTTTTATTAGATAGACTGAATTAGATTATAAACCATGCAATGTGAAATATCCCTCAAAATCGTACATTGCATTGCATTTTTGCTTGCTGATGAGTTTAAACTATCACATTTTGCTGCTGAAAGGATATGTGATTCATTTTCTTTCATTTCACCATAGCATGAAGTGTAAAGACGTGGACCACCATGAACAGGAACATGAACATGAATATCATCTTGATCTCAATGACAGCGGAGCCCAAGGAATCACCGCAAGTAGTGTTACACTGGCTGTGATCGTTTGCCTTAGTCTGCTTTTAGTACCATGTAAGTGCTTTTTGTATTAGTTGAATCATATTCCGAGTATGATTACAGTCTCTGTTGTGTCTGTGTTGATAATGAATCAGTATCCTGTGTGCTAATGAGATTCTGGTTTATTCTCAGAGACGAGAGGAAGGCTGGATGATGGAGTATTTGGGTACATGTTTCGGTGCAACACTGTTCTGAGGACAACGCTCTGGTGCACTTGTAACCCTGGACTTGAAGCACATGTAAATCGTCATTTGGAAGTGCTGATGCAAAATTTATGATCACGTGTAGTTAATGAAGGTGTTTGTGTTGCAAACATTTTTGGTGGCACGGCTGAGAGCATGGAGAATTTATTCACCTTCAACAAATGTATGCTGTACTTCATTGGTGGTAACTTTTTTTTTTCTTTAGACTTTTTTTATTTGGGAAAAATATATAGATTTTAGGGTCTAGATGTTTCAGAATTGTATTTATTTTTGTTTGGAGTAACCAGGCTAGTATGCCAATGATATATGTTAAGAGCTATTCAGAAAGTTTTAGCACTGTCTGTTTTTTTAAAAGAAATTCATGAAAACCTTTTGAAAGCTATTTTTGAATAAAGTCACAATGTTGACTCTCTAATTATGACTTGATAAAAGACAGTCTTTAATGTGTGTGACCTTTCCATCAGTACTATGTCAGCCTTTTTAACAATAATCTGTTGAAAGAGTTCCTGGTACATATTGACTAGTGAAGGACGAAGAGTAACACACACACACAAACACACACACACACAAACAACAACGAATATAGGCTACTAATACTACAGTCTACCTTCAGCCATAAAACGATGGAAACTTATCACACAAATGTGCTAAAAATGAGAAATTAAACAACTTATACCGAAAGCTGTATGTTTTTAAGAATATACTATATTTAATCATTTATTATGATACTGAAATAAAGCAAGTAATAGCCTAGCTATTTGGTCATGTGATCGCAACATGTTTGCCACCATGAGTGGGCGACCCACTCCCATGTAAATTATAAAATTATGACTACTGTTTTCCAGTCTGCTCCTGTTATGTACATTTAAACATTTACTTTAAAATTAGGGGAACATTTAACGTCGGGGACAAAAACACGAAACACGAAAAAAAACACAGCGTAAAACAGCAATACCCAGATTGCCTTACTTTATCGGAAATGACGCTACACAGACCCGCCCCTCGACGCCTTCCAAAATAATCGCGCTTTGTGTATCCAACATGTCGGCGCCCGTGGAGGTAGTTCTGTCTGCAGATTCAGCGGGGCAGCTGTTTAACTGCGCGGTTTTCGACCCTCATTCCGGGTCAGAATTCTTGTCCTATCGCGGGGGTAACACGTCCTCCAGGTCTTTAACAGTCCTGAACGGAGAATACATATTAGGAGCTCAACTCGGCAAGAACTTCATAAACGTGTGGGAGATCCAAAGAAAGGTGGGTAGAGAGCTAACGTTACTGCATCTGAAAATAAGCATCACTGATGTTACACTCAATAAGTAATAAATATCATAATTGTTCAGAACAAGCGTTCTTCAGTTTAATTAGTTAACTAAAAGAAGATAATTGTTAATGGACAGTTGACATGTCAAGCTGTGACAGCGGTGACTTAAGTGACGCTTTAATATTTAAATTAATTAAATATTACACAAAAGCCTTCGTACTTTTTAAAAATGTATGTCACATCGTACTAGCTTAAAGTAAAAAAAAGCTAAGCTATATTTCATACAAATATTAGCTTAAAAATATTGGTAAATGGTAAAACCACAACCATATTATTTGTCAGCGTAATATGCATGTTGCAGTCATCACTGATAATATAAAGTCAAGCTTTTCTCATATTTTAATAAGCAATGTGCTGAATAGGCTATTCCAGGATGATGCACAAGTTTTTAATTTTAGGAGAATATCCACCAACATGTGCTTTCTGTCAAAACCCCTTATCCATGATGCATGTTTTATTAGATTGTACTGGTCTTAACCCTGTGATAAACCTTTTATACTCAGCTAACACTTTTGAAGAAATGTTTAAAAGTTTAAGTTAAACCAAATATAGTTGTTTTTTTTTAGCATAAATAGATTGATATAGTTTATAACATTTTCTCACCATGGGAATAGCCACAAAAGCTGGCATGGCGTTAAAAACAAACAAACTATTTAATAAATAGTCAACAGTTTATTGGTTTATCATTGTTAACAGAGATTAAATAAATAACCATTGGTTTATATAGATGATGGAGTTGTGACTGGGTTTGTGATTTAAGACACATGAGCAATAGACATGGCAGCCTAGAAATAGACAGGTTTTAACTCTTTGGTTCAGTGAATGAAACTAAAAGTGCACCTGCCAAAAATTAATCAATATTAAAGCTTTTTACAGCCAGAAATATCTGATCTGACTCAAATGTAACACAATTATTACTCTGATTTCATGCAATATTTAAACATCAAATTTGAATGGCTGTGACTCCCGTTGAATTTATGACGATCTATGATATTCATTAGTCATTGACTGTGGAGTACAGATTGAATGTATTGTGAGAGCATTTCTAAATGCTCTGAATAACTTTTGAACTACCTTTCAGGACCAGCTACAGCAGAAGATTGTGTGTCCTGGGATCGTAACGTGTCTCTGTGCGTCTCCTGATGGCCTCTATGTCCTGGCAGGCATTGCTGAAGCTATATACCTGTGGGAGGTGAGGAGGAGGGTTTTGGTCATCAAGAAATATCACACTGTTTTTCTTTGTTTTTACATAATTCTCATTTAGTTAACTAATTAAAAACATTTAAAATGCATGCTCTTCTATGATGAAGTTACGCCTTCTTTCTTTATGTGAACATTTGGGCGGTGTTATGCAAATCTTCCCACATAGTGACGTAGGTATGTGGGGGTGTGTTAGAACGAGCCGTTTTAGGTAGGTGTGGCTGACTCTTAACTTTTATAAAGAATATCTCTTTGGATTTGAGACTTTAGTCTTTGCAACTTTACAGATCTTCTTTATGCACCAAGAGCTTGTAACACTCCAAAGAGAAAGGAAAAATTGAAATCGCATCATATGACCCCTTTAAAATTCACTGTATTATTTTGGGGGGCATAAATGAAAAATTCATATGACTGTGTGAATGACTGTGATTGTGTGTCAAAGTCTTTTCAAATATAATTTTTTTTTAGACACATTAGTTCAGGTTGTAAAATGTCATATGGCGCAACTCCTAAAAAAAACATATTTATGAAATAAAAATTAACAGTATTTAAAAAAATACTTGAAAAATATATTTAAAAACTTTGAAAATAACTCGCATATATTAAGGTGTAAGGAAAATATGTAATTACTTTATAATTTTTTGTTGAAAATGGCATAAAAGTTTAAGACCATATGAACAATATGAATGCAAAGCGTTTATATTTCTTGGCACATGTCTTTTAAACTGGATTTATTGTGGACACTTTCTTTTAATGCTTTCTAATAGATGTCAACAGGAAATTTGCTGGCTATTTTGAGTCGACACTATCAGGACGTGAGTTGCATCCGTTTCACTGATGACAGCAGTCATTTTGTGTCAGGAGGGAAAGACAATCTGGCTCTCATATGGAATCTCTCCAGGTGCGTTAAAGGCGTAACTAATCATTTCTCTTTTCAACTGTTACTGTGGTTATAAGTCTTGACCTTAATGAGTGAGAGCTAATCTACAGAGGTTTCCTCAGTTGTCAAAGTTGCACATGCAGGAAGTGGTATTGAAGTGTCTTTTTTGCCTTTTTTAATTGAGTAATGAACTTACTAATATTTGGCAGATTGGTAGAAAAGCAGCAAAAACATGAATACATTTTTCACTATTTTAGCTGTCTCTTCTCGCATAATACACCAAGCACTTTAAGTGACATAATATAGTTAGTTCATTCATGACAACTCTCGGAAGATTTTAGCATGGTGATGGATGTTAAAGTCCGCATGAAATCAAAATGGACTTTATTTACTTTACTAGCGCACATTGCTAGTCTTGATGTGAACAATTAATCCGTGCAAGTTAATCCGCTGAAAAAAATTGTTTGTTTTGGTAATCTTCAATAAAAATCTGAACATTTGCTTCCGCTCTGGAATGGCATTCCTTCTCTGATGACGTCAGTTTGACGGCTTGGGCAGAATATCCTTAAACACGCCCCTCCAGCCGTTAGATTGCTATGAGTGAGAGACCGAGAGGAGGAGCGCAAAAATAAAACCACGCCCTCTATTCATGATTCCGTTTCTGATGGAAATACGTCACTACACTGAAATAAAGTCGGCAGCAACATCCGGTTCACGCGGACTTTAATGTATCTGGTTTTGGCGGAATAGATCTGCTACGCTGCTGCTGAATTGCTGCTGCTGTTGGTTATTGCTGTAGTTGTAGATTATTGCTGTTGCTGCAAGCAAGTACAGGAACTTGCTACTGCCAATGCATATGGCGATATGGTGCCGTGAGTATTTAAGACATGCTGCTGCTGCACAAATAACATATAAAATAACCTGTAGCAGATCTACACAGGTGGAGCTGGGGAAGGCGGAGGGTTTCAGAGAAACTCTGAAAGTGCTCTGCAGGAAACTCAAGTGAATGCTAGCAAGCCATATGAATGTAAGGCAGTAAGCTCATTGGCTGCATATGCAGCATGAACCAATCAGCTGTGCCAAGTCGTTTAACTCTCTGAATATCATCAGTTACGTTAACAACCCGTCAGCCTGCACCATATAGAGTTTCATGACTGAACTATATATTTAAAGACTTAAACGGTGACATTGCTAAATTGCTGCTTGTCTGAACCTCGGGAATATTGAGAGATGAGACTAGAATATTAAAGGGTTAGTTCACCCAAAAAGAAAATTCTGTCATTTACTCACCCTCGTGTTGTTCCAAACCCGTAAGACCTTCATTCATCTTCGGAACACAATTTAAGATATTTTTGATGAAATATGAGGGCTCTCTGACCCTCCCATAGACAGCAAGGTAACTACCACGTTCAATGTCACTACCACATCAGTGGTTCAACTCGCGTATATGGTACTGTCGTGAATACGCTTCCACAAGAGACGAAAATGTGGAATAAAGTCGTTATTTTTGGTTTCTTTGCACAAAAAAGTATTCTCGTAGCTTCGTAACTTTACAGTTGAACCACTGATGTCACACGGACTACTTTGTCGATCATCTTGGTACTTTTTTGGACCTTGAACGTGGTAGTTACCTTGCTGTCTATGGGAGGGTCAGAGAGCCCTCAGATTTCATCAAAAATATCTTAAATTGTGTTCCGAAGATGAACGAAGGTCTTACGGGTTTCGAACAACACGAGGGTGAGTAATTAATGACAGAATTTTCATTTTTGGGTGAACTAACCCTTTAATATAACACAATGAATGGAATACAATTGAGAAGAGACAAATGAGTGATTTGAAATGAAAACCTTATTTGATATATATATATTATGTTTTTTTTATTATATTATATATTTTGTTTTTCAAAACTGGACATATAAAACATATAATATATAAAGGGTTTCTTAATATATATACAGTTAGATCCATATATATTTGGACACTGTCACAATTTTCAAAATTTTGACTCTGTATGCCACCAGAATAGAATTAAAATGAAACAATCAAGATGAAATTGAAGTGCAGACTTTAAGTTTTAATTCAAGGGGTTGAAAAAAATATAACATAAAAAGCTTAGAAATTACAACCATTTTTATGCACAGTCCTCCCAAATTCAGGGGCTCAAATGTAATTTTAATAAATATAATCAAAAATAAAATGTTCATTTTTAATATTTTGTTGAGAATCCTTTGCGGGCAATGACTGCCTTAAGTCTGGAACTCATGAACATCACCAGAGACTGGGTTTCCTCTTTTGTGATGCTTTGCCAGGCCTTTACTTCAGCTGACTTCAGTTGTTGTTTGTTTGTGGGTCTTCCTGCATTTAGTTTTGTCTTCAGCAAGTCAAATGCATGCTTAATCAGGTTGAGATCAGGAGATTGACTTTGCCATTGCAGAATATTCCACTTTTTTTACCTTGAAAAACTCTTGGGTTGCTTTTGCTGTATGTTTTGGGTCATCGTCCATTTGTACTATGCAGCGCCACCCAATCAACTTTGCTCCATTTGACTGAATCTGGGCAGAGAGTATATCCCGATACACTTCAGAATTCATCCAGCTGCTTCTGTCTTCTGTCACGTCATCACTAAACACCAGTAACCCAGTGCCACTGGACATCATGCATGCTCATGCCATCACACTGCCTCCACCATGTTTCACAGATGATGTTGTGTGCTTTGGATCATGAGTTGATCCAGGCCTTCTCCATACTTTTTTCTTCCTGTCATTCTGATACAGGTTGATCTTAATTTCAGCCGTCCAAAAAATGCTTTTCCAGAAGTGGTCTGGCTTTTTTAGATGTTTTTTGGCAAAGTCTAATCTGGCCTTTTTTGCACCTTGTGGTGAATCCTCTGTATTTGCTCTGGTGACGTCTTCTCTTGATTGTAGACTTTGACAGTGCGTGCTAACTCCTGGAGAGGGTTCTTCACTTGGCTGGATGTTTTGAAAGGGTTTTTCTTTACCATGGAGAGGATTCTCCGA